CCGTAACGTGGTCAAAGTCATGGACTATGAAGCCTTCCGTAAAGATGGTTCCATTTCCGTTCACGATGTTCCTGAACCGGAATTGTTCGTTGAGGACGGAACCCCAAGCTTTCCGATTGCAGCAGCAGCAGATAGAGCATTGCATGGTGGCAAGACAGAAGGGTCTGATCCCCCACCTATGCCCCTGCGAGAGGCGCCCTTTGGTGCCCCACCGACTCCATCCGCTGTCAAGTCAAAATCCGTGTACATAACTGTTGAGAGGATCATCAAGTTCAAGGAAACGCCAGGTTGCCGTGCATGCACCGGTCATTCCAAGATTCACAGTGCCGAATGCAAGAAGAGGTTCTCCGAACTTGTTTCTGCAGATCGAGCTGAAGCAGCTGCAAAAAGCGCTGCCAAAACTGAATCTAAGGAACCCATTCCCATTGTTCATACTGAAGGGGATGAGGAGCTAGCTAGAGCAATCCACGCATCCGAGCATGGAGAGGATCCTAAGCCCGCAGTTAGTGCAGAAGATGTTGCGCATGAATTTGATGCAGCCGAAGCTGGGGAGCCCGCTCCCTCAAGACCCGGCGGCTCATTTTTCGATACCGCGCCAGCGACAGCCGCTACATCGCAAGGTGAAGATTTTTGGGTGTTCAAAGAAAATGCCAACTGTTTGGTTCGATACCATATCATGCCAAGGCAGAATCTTTTACCCCAAAAGAGGTCGAGGATTGCCCCGTTTCCCCAGAAAGATTTACTGCAGCTCGCACCACTCGTGCCGTGTTTCAGGGGGGCAAAGCAGACAACATCCATGATGGTTGGTTTGGTAGCCGACCCAATCGCTCACTTGGAGATGCATGGACCGGGTTCACAGTGTTCAAGTTAAAACCCATTCAGTCCGATTGTGTTATCACCACAGGTGCAGCCGTGATGTTAGACTCCGTACCGCCGACACCTCTCACCGATGCATCAAAGAACGGTCGTCCGAACACATTGCCAATTTTTGGCATGCCATGCAGCGCAGAGGTTGAAGCTCCACAGCGCAAGCAGTTTGAGGTTGGAAATCATCGTGCCCGCAAGAAACAGGCACGTATTGACAAGTTGCCTGTGATGTTCGAATACGCATGTTCACCAGAGTCCAACATGGGTCGCGTGTTTGAAGGTCTTGGCATACCTCATGTTAGGCTGGCTAAAGAGTTTATCGACCTCAGCACAGATGAAGGAGAAATCCAGTTGCAGTCGCAGATTGAAGGTTGTGATAAACCCAATCTCTGGGCCGCAATTCCCTGTACATCAGGTTCAGCATGGCAACGCCTTAATAAGGCCAAGTTAGGAAGCCAGTTCAAAAAGAAACTGAAGCAAAAGGTTAGAGAGTCGAGAGAGTTGTTCTCCAGATTCAGACGTCACGCAGAGACTGTCCTCCATCAGGGGGGTAGTGTTTCGTTTGAATGGCCAAGGGATTGCGACAGCTGGGCTAGGGATGATGTTTCTGCATTCTTTAGAGAATACGCACACGTCTTCACCCCAGCGACCTTCCATGGTTGCGCCCTAGGCCTGAAGGACAGCAATGGCTATCCCATCAAGAAGCCATGGAAAGTCATGACCAGCAATAGCACACTCGCATCCGCACTAGGTGCATTCAAGTGTCCGCACGAAAAAGGGTATAAACATTCGCTTGCAGCAGGTAACAAGACCGCAAAGACCGCTTTCTACCCCGAAGGCATGTGTCTCACAGTTGCCCGTGCGCTGTATCCAACAGTTCAACCCGTTGTGCCTGCGATGCCTGTCCAAGTGCCATTGCCTCTCGATCACCGGGAACGTGAACAGCAGTTGAAGCACATATCCCCTCTCTCTGGTTTGGAAGATATAGGTGTTGCTGTTGAGTCAGATGAAAAGTGTCACAACATTCTTGAGCAAGTTCTTGATGTTGAAAATCTCATCGCACATTCCCTAGGACAAGTCACAGAGAAGAAGGATCCTGAGATCACCGCAATGGTGACCAGACTCTTGTCACGTGCCGAAATGTTGGCTTCCCCGGAAGCTCTTGAAGCCGTTCGACTTGAAGCCACAGGCCTGGAGAAAGCCGGTGCTTGGGATCTAAATTCAGTCCGAGAGTATGATCAAGTCGCTGCTGAGGCGCGACGATCCAGTATAAAAGTTCATTTCGGGCAGTTGATGTCGCTAGCATCCGTCAAGTTCGCCGAACTCGCGAAACACCTTCAGAAGATGAAAGGTAGGATTGTGTATCGCGGAGACTGTGCGAAAGACGAACATGGCGCAGCAGCTGTCTACCAAGAGTTGGGAGCAAATCCCACGAGCGTACAAGGTCTTAATAACTGTCTCGCTTATGGATCCCTGCCAGGGAATTCCACCACAACAGCGGACGCTATAAAGGCTTATGTGCAAGCACTGCTGAAGTCCAAGTACCAAACTTGGATCACACTCCCGCCTGAGCTCCGGCCAAGGTGGTGGCGCGAGCGTTTCGTGAAACCTGTGGTTTTGCTCGTTAAAGCTCTTTATGGGCATCCTGACGCTGGCGGACTCTGGGAGGCACACCTCAAAGGGTTCATTAGTGAACTTGGAGGGCGTGAGGTCGCAGAGTTTCCTGGAAACTTCTGGTTCAAGGAGTCCGGGTTACTTCTCTCGACATACGTCGACGACTTGACGTTGGCCGGCCCCAGCCACCTTCATAAAGACTTCTGGGAAAAGTTAACAAGACTGGTTGATATAGAACCCCCAGAAGACATATACCGGGTGCTAGGCAGGAACCACCTTTTGATAGATGCTCCAAAGGACCCAACTGAACCCGATCTTAATGCCGCAATGGGCAGATTGAAAGGGGGCATGGCGTTCGACATGCGGGATTATGCCCGTCAAACGGTGGCATTATATCTTGAGGTTGCACAGCTAAAAAGTGAAAAGTTGCGTGATGCCACCACTCCATTCTGTCCTGCTGGATCCCTCGATCCTGCAGATGACGCCTTGGAGGGTGAGCTCGGCTTCGCCGCTTGCCGCGTGTTGATGAAAGCCTTGTGGCTCGGCCGTTTGGCACGCCCAGACCTGGTCAAGCCCATTGGCGACCTTGCCTCATTTGTTCAAAAATGGTCTAGAAACTGCGATAAGCAGCTACATAGGCTTGTTTGCTACATAAACAGCACGGTCAACAGCACGCTAGTAGGCACAGTCCAAGATTCGACTGAGGATTTGCATCTGTCCCTTTATGTGGACGCCGATTTCGCCGGAGAGCGAGATGCAAAATCCACGTCCGGAGGATTCTTGATTTTGAGTGGTCCGCACACGCATTTTCCGCTTGCGTGGGTATCCAAAAGGCAGACATCGGTCTCCCGGTCAACGACCGAGGCGGAGATTGTATCTCTCGCATACTCCCTTTATCAGGAGGCGCTCCCTGCGCTTAGCTTGTGGGAGCTGATATTGGACCGACCATTCCATCTCAAGATCCACGAGGACAATCAGGCGACTATCCTCGTAGCAAGGAAAGGTTTCTCATCCAAGCTACGCTGTGTCCAGCGAACACACAAGGTGAACCTCGCGTGCATCGCAGAGCAGCTTGAAAGCGAACACATCTCGATAGAATACGTCCAAACCGACATGCAGTCAGCGGACATCTTCACGAAAGCACTTCCACCCAACAAGTGGGACCATGCCATCCGGTTGCTCGGCATTCGTGTTGACCTTCCAGAGAAGCTTGAAGACGTTCGTGAAAGTAGAGCCGCTAAAGCAGCTGCCTAGTGCGCTGCAGCATGTCCGCAAATTTCCAAAAGTGTGCAAAGTGCCTGGGTGATGCTTGAATAACTTGTGTCAGTCGTTGTGATGTAAACTTGACTTCAAGTTGGCGTGGTAATGCGCCCAAGACACTCCCTCAGTGCCGTCAATGAGGGGGGAGTCAATTATCACGATGACATTTATGGCCCAGAGGTACATGAGGTAGGTTCTCATGTAGTCAGTTGCATGTTGTACATTCAAGTGGTTGCCAAAGCATGATCCAATCACTGCTTTGGCTCAAGTGCTGAAAACAGCGCGTTGCACCGCGCTAGCCCCAAGGTTAAGGGAGAGGTCGCAGTCACGGAGGGGTTCGTTCCTTTTAAGGTCCCGGGTTCCCCCGTTGTTGACAAAACTGTGTTTCCCTCTCCTTTGAGTTCTTCACCCCCAAAAAATCGAGTTTTTTGTTTCGTTGGTCTCCCTTCAACCCCGCCCAAAGAGGGTTCCCCCGCAAGCAAAAAAAAGCGAGAGACGCGGCCAAGTTGTGGCAGGCTCGCGCAATCGGGACATGAATCCCCAGCTGGCCACCAAACGGGCCCCCACTCTGCTACTTGGCTCATTGACCTCAGTTGGGTGAATGTAGATGCCACAATTCATTCCTATTTTGGTTCAGTCACCTTTACTGACATGGGGTGTTTCTCAAAATTGCGGACCTCTCCAGTGGTTTCCTTTTGCTTTTGTCAAACCATCCGAAAAGGGGTCCGATTCCTATTTTTGAGGACCCCCCCCAAACGAAAAAGTTGATCAACATTCCTGGCCCCTAAATGACCGTAGGTAACTTTTCCCATGTGGGACATATCATTTTTTTAGTGGCTTCCGTGATGGTCATCCCCTGTGAAGGACCGAGCAACCCGCATATAAAGAGAAGTTGCTGGTGCTCAGTAAGGAATGACCGTTCCGGGTGTTGGGAATGAACCCAGGGGTTTCCTTACTTAAAGGAAACCACCAGTTGGATGGTTTTCCGTTTCTCATTTCCTGCTTATCGAACCAGCAAGATAACTGTGCCATCTGATTTCACCCGGGAACAGGTGGCCCGCCGAAGATTCGCCGAAGTGATTTCTAGCCCAGGGAAGCTGGGTACCGACATGAGTCGAGGTGAAAAATAGGCCTCAGTGTAATCCACAGGATGCCACGATGCCACCTAAGAAGAACCATGTACGAAGCTTGCCAAGGGGAATTCGGAATTCCCAATGGGGCACTGCTGGTATTTGGTTTAAGATGACGTGGCTTGTCAGGTACCGGAGATATCCGAGCCTGGACTCGCTGATCATCTTTTCGGACATCCTGGTGATTCCTGCTGGAGCCTTCAGCTTCGCTTGGGCTCAGGGGCGCGAGTCTTTTTTGAGGGTACCTGTTTTGTTGTTTTAGAGGAAAAGGAACACCGTTGCGCCAGTTTTTTTTTTTTTTTAATAAGGAAGGTGGGTGGGTCCCCAACAGACACGCCCGAAACGAAAGGTCCCGTGGGCAAGCAACACGAGGACATGGGAACCTTTCTGTAGTCTCGGTTGGGTTGAAATCTGAGTCTCCCCTTCTCGTCCAGTTCACCATCGAGTTTCTCATGTCGTTGGCCTTTTTTGGGTTGGTTTAAAGGGAGACCAAAAGAACAACCACGTTTTTTTGGGGATCACCCTATCTTGAGACAATCCCAAGTGTTTGTTGTTCTGATTATTGTCCTTACAGCCCTTTGATGAATAGAAGCCTCAAACAAGCTTAGTTTAAGACGTGAACTGCTTGGAGGACCCGTATTGTGGGCTTGGGAACGGTTTGAGGCACCGCGAACAGTACCAACATGTGTTCAGCCTAAAGATATGCACTGATCTTGGGTGTTGACATTTGCAGAGAACTGGCCCCGGTGAGTTTCGGTCAGAATATCCAGAAGTCGGTGGAGACGAGACCAAATTTGCCCACACAACCGGGCGAGGTTTTGATGTCACCAAACATATACACACCAAACATGTTCATTAATGTCGTCAGTAATGTACTTATAATTGTACTCAAGGCATATTTTGCCATCAACACGGGACTTGAGCACTGTCGTCAGGGACTGTTGACATATATTTATGAGGGTCTTCCCCTGAAATGGCTACAAACAAACAAGCAAGCAAGCAAGCAAGCAATCAAGCAATCAAGCAACCAAGCAAACAAACAAACAAACAAACACAGATGCTGTTGTTTGATCCACCACACATGTTCATTCATGGCATCAACAATGAACTCATGAATTTAGTTATGCATGTAAATATGTTCCTCCTTAACTTAATATACTTAGTGTAGAACTTTCCCATGAAACAACATGAGGCACAATCAAAACCCGGGTAAGTGACGATTAGCAAGGGACAATCCCAGCCATAAATGGGTGCGGATATCCGCCTTCGAATTCTTGAAGCATAGTTTTAGTTGCTTGGACCATATTGATACTGATTGGTTTTGATTTTGACACACTATCAAATGTCCCCTCCTCTCCTCCCCCCAAAAAAAAAACAAAAAGAACAGAGGCCCTCCCCGAAAAAACAAAAAGAGAAAGAAGAGGGAGGATTCCCCCCTCCCTTCCCCCGCACCCCGAAAACAAGAGGCAGGTCTTTGGAGCAGCGGGACATGCGCCTTCCAGACCATTTGTGGGAGGCCATGGGCATGGACCGAGGTGGCCATGGGCATGGACTGTCGCATGGAGCCGAAAGCCTGGGGCTTGGTTCCGGTCGTCCGGCTTCGGCCAGGGCGGTGGAACACATGAGTCTGTGTTGTTCTTTTGAGGCTGGGAGCCCTCCTTTTCAACATGTGGGGCCTTTTTCAAGGAAGACAAAAGGAAAGCCGCGCAGTCCAGATTTCGAGGGGTCCGTGCCCTGAAGAAAAAGAAGAAAAAAAGTCGCGCCCACATTTCTAGGGACCCCCGAAAATGGGAGGGGGGTATCCGGTTTTGACGGGGGACGGAACCATGGGTGGTTTGAGAGGTATGCAGCTTTGGTACAAGCAGCCACTTTCTTTTCCCATGTGATGCGTAAAAAGTCCGTCATCCACTGAGTTGCTGGGGCAAGATCCACGATCTGCGGCTGACTTTGGGGGTTCCCTTGCACGCGACCAGTCGGCTCGACAAAGCATGCAGTGGAGGATTGGCCGATCTCACCAGGCTGGGCTCAGCTGTAGACCCACTCTGAGCAATCGAGAGCCGGGTTCGTCGAAATGGCGCAAGCGGCGAAATCGAGTCTGCCCGGTCAAGCTGCAGCCAATGTTGGTAGAAAGCTGGAATTGGTCTTCGTTTCACCAGTCAGAAGGTCCCCGGCCTGTTGAGGAGACGTGCAACCTTTTTTCACCACCTGCTTCGAATGCGGGGTTGTCTAAAGCAAACAACTCGGGGGTGGGTCAAGACCAAAAACCAGGGTGCCCTGGTATATGGAAAGCACGAAAAAAACAAGCAAACCAAAAACCAGGGCGAGGTGGTACATGGAAAGCACGGAAAAAACAAGCCTGCAGTCCAACTCCTTCAATTTTGAGCCATACCCAAGTGCTTGGCTTCTCGACGTTTCTCCCCAGTTCGACGCTCTGAGGTGGGGCCCCAGTTCGACTTCGCCCTGGAGACTCCCGAGGACCCGGAGTTGTGATCCATGGGATCTGTGAGCATGTTCCTTTGGCCCTGATGTTTGGAAGATGTGGAGCCGAAAGGGCTGAAACCATAGGTGTCCTTTTGATCGGTTAGTGTGGTCAATAGAAGGCACTAGATAGGTGTTGTTCCATTTGCCAGGGCCATCTATGTTTCCAAAAGGACACCTGTGGCTGAAGCAACTGGAACGGGGTTGTGGGGTAAGCCCACAGAAGGTCCATGATCATGGACAAACTCCACTTCGCACCAGCTAGGTGGCTCATCAGCCAGTACTCAAATTATTTTTGTCCCATGCCAACTGGTGCGTTTCTTTTTGGCAGATTTTGCAACCATCAGGATCTAACCCCAGGCATTGTCACAAGCCAATTTTCCTTCGTGGAAAGTGAGCGATGGTGGAAACTTGAGTGAGGCCCAGTTTTTCTGGAAGACAAGTGAGCGCGTGGGCCCGTCTTTTTGTGAGGGTACCCCCTTTTGGTTGGTTTTAAGGGAAACCAAAGGGAAAGCCGCCAGCCATTTTGGGGGGTCCCATATTTTCAGACACACCCATGTGTGCTGAAATCCAAGCATGGAAAGGTCACGTGAAAACAGATAGGGTCTGATGGTTACATGTGACTTGCTGGGTCCGAACCGCTGCGTTGTGGCTCACCCTCCAAGATGGTTGCTGGTTGCATAAATCCAGATGCAAATGATGGTCCCACGCGCGTGTGCCTGTGTGTTTGTTTGGTCCCACTGTGTGTTTGTTGTGTTGTGTTTGATTGTTTGCTTGCTTTCTTGCTTGTTAGTTTGTCTTCTTTTTTTTTTTTTTGGTTTTTTTGTTTTTCCTTTGATTGATTGTGTGTGTGTGTGTGTGTGGTGTGTCGTGTTTGTGTTTGTGTTTGTGTTTGTGTTTGTGTTTGTGTTTGTGTGTGTGTGGTGTGTTTGCGTGCGTTTTTGTTTGTGTTTGTGCTTGTCTGTGTGCCTGTCTATGCGCCCGTGTTTGCGTCTGTCGTGTCTGTGTGCGCGCTCACCGGCTATCTGGAAAGGACATGGAGAAGTTGAATCTCACCCCAGATGTGGAGGCGCGATTCGAAGGGCCGACATGCAGCAAGTGGGGGCGTTGAAGGCTCTCAGCAGGAAGGAGTGTTTGCCCTTTAAGATGGAACCCACCAAGTTCCAAACCTGGTGACCCCCTCCCCTTTGTTAAATATGCGAGCTTTAACTTTAGATGTTTGGTTGCCAGGTGTATTCATTATTTTGGTCAGCCGAAAAGTTGTTTGACTTTTTCTGGCTCAGAGTCAGGTGCCAAATAAGTGCAGAGGGTTTTTTCACTTCAAAGAGCTGAGTGTGCGCAATGTGTACTGCTTTGAAGGGGTCGACCGAGGGGTCGGTCTCATGGAAAAGGACTCTTCCCCCCAAGTGGATGGTTTCAATAGGACACGCAAAGGCAACCAACCACCCGGGAAGAAACGGCTCTTCATTTGGCCAGACTTGCAACTTACCTTTTAAACATTTTCCCGTTTTGGTTTTCCCTCCTTTTCCCTTGCCAGCAAACAATTAACTTTCTGCAGAGGGTGTAAGTCATGCCCGAAACAGCAAATCAACCACCTGTGAGCAATCAGTTTCTTATTGTAGCGGTTTTGTCCTGGCGCACCCAATGAGGCGACTTTGAGCTATGTGTTCGACGGCATTTACTGGACTCGAACGCAGGCTCCGATCAGGGGGAGAAAGATGTGGCTGTGAAATCTGATGACAGCGCCCTTCAACATGCACAGCGCCCATGTAAATGATGTCCACCAAAGGTTCAATTCAAGGGTCCCCAATCAAAACTCATATCCATATTGACAGATGAGAGCCGGGTTGTACTTTTAGGCGGCTTAAAACATGGGGGCCTGCGGCCTTTCCTAGAATACGTTAATCACGCCTGGGTTCAAGTCCTTTTGTTTCATGGTCAAGCCAGTGATTGCTATCATAATAGATCCGAGTGTGGGTTGTTGAGCTGGTCGATTGCCATTATTGGCGCTGTTGCAGTCCACCTGAGACTTAAGAGCAATGTGGGAGCCTGCTAACCAACAGGGTTTCTCATTATCGGGTCCACACTGCAAAAGGAGCATTACATGGCTGGCATTTGATGCATTTGTGTTTCTGGGAAGGCAACTTGGGAAACATGGCCAAAATATTTGTCGGGACTACCCGGCAGAGTCCCTTGCCCACAACGCAGCTTCTCTAAGAACTGCAAGTAAGGTGACCAGGAACAACTGTAAACAACTGTAAATAGATACAGCGCTTGTTTCCAAATTTCAATACTTAGGGAATCAGCTGTACTCGTTTGGAGGAGTCCCCGACATGTTTTCTATGAAATCCCGAGAAAGGGGGGGGGGCCTAAAGTGAAGCATGCAATGAGTGCTGGGATCTTGGCTCAGTTGCTGTAGTTGCCATGTACCAATAGTTGCTATGCTACAGTGCGGATGCTTTGGCAGATGCAGATGTTGTCAAGGAGGTTGCAGTTGTGGCCTTGAAATGGTGACAGCGATGCAGGATACATGTCTTGATAATTAGGCTGGGCGTGGAAGCAGAATTGGACATGGTGCGGTCGATTCTTCAAACGTTGCAAGTGAAGCAGCCACATCCAACATACCAACATGCAAAAAAAAACACTCAACTGGTAAATTGTAGCAAGGCACATGGGTACCGAGAAAAAACAAAAAAAAAACACACACACAAAAAAAACAAGCAGGGGCATCCACCGACACACCGGCGGGTCGGAAGTTGCAGACGCTGGACGTTTTTTTTCTTTCTTTTTTTTCTTTTTTCTTTTTTTCTGGCGCGTTTGCTGCCACCCTGTCGTCCATTTGCCCAGTGGTTGGCCTCCGTCGCCGCGTCTGAGTTGCCATGGTCGGTCAGTACCCTCCCACCAAACGTGGGTTTGTGCACAAAGTCCCCCTCCAAGAGGAAAGTTTTTTTTTTTACAGGGGTCTGTGCACATGGATATCGGGACGGCACATCAATCCCGGCATCGCGGTCGGTGTACGCCCCGAGTCGCAGAGTGCTTTGTCTCATGTGCTGAATTCTGAAGCCAATCGCTTCCTTCTCGGGTCCAGAAAGCCGACTCTTGGTCTCCCGTTTGAGTTGGCACGCTTCGAACGAACTTTCCTTTTGGCGAGCCTCAACCCGAAGGCGGCAACACAGGGATGCTCCCAACTCCCCACCTCCTTGGAGAGACCATGCCACAGGAATGGGGTGCCCAAAATGCACATCGATTTCCACACTCCGGCTCGAAGCGCTGAGTCCTCCATTTCGCGATTTGGGCCATGCCTTCCACCCCGAGGTTTCGGAGGCCGGGGGAAGTTTTTTTGCTGAGAGCCCGGAGGTGAAGAACGAGGTGCCCGTGATCGGCTTCTCCGGGGCGCCGTGGACGCTGATGGGCTACATGGTGGAAGGCGGGGAGCGCTCGCTGCTTTGACGTGGTCGCGATGCGGTGGAAGGCTGCGAAGTCCGAGGCCGCACCGCGAAATGAAGCCACTGGAAACCATGGTTTGTTTGGTATGTCCAGGGCACCCTTGCCTTGGCAGGCGGTTTCTGAAGGGACCCCCCTTCCAAAATAAGCCAAGGTGGTGTCCCCACCCGGAATGGAACCCTCGCTGAAAGCCCCCAAACCACACAAACCCTATCTGGGCCCCCATGTCCTCCCCAGGTGAACACCAGACCAGTATGACTGTGGATGGACGAAATCCTGCACCACCATTCAGAAACCCTATAATGATTCGACAGCCCTTTTTGCCCCATGGCCGCTGCCAGTCTGAAGTTGTCCTAGGAGCTTGGCAGTGTCTCCGCGTTTGAGTTGCTGCTTCGGGGGCGCATTGGCCACGTGTTGGGAACTACTCGGGCTGTGCAGACTTTCACCTGCAACCTCCCGCCACACGCCTTTGACCGCAGAGGCCATTGCTGGTTGGTGGTTCAGATTGGGCCGACTGCTGTTTGTTTTGGCGATACAGGTGTGCCAAAGGAACTCGCCATGGAGTTCCCCCAATTTAATTGGAGACAGCCACGTGTGCAAGTATCTACCCTCCACCAATCATGGAAGCTCACAGGAGGGTACTACTTTCCTTTTGGGGAAGGCCTCTGTCCACTTCCATGATTGTTGGAAAGAGGGTAGCCCTTGATATCACCGTGTCCATGTAGTAGTCAAAGTTCCGCAGGGGGAGCCGTCCGGAGCTTTGACCGCGCCAAGAAGTGGCTTTACCTCTACCCGGAGGCCGGGGAGGGGGGAGGGTGGGTGTGACGAGGGGAGCAAATAAGCAGGAAATGGATGGCCGGTTTGGGATCTGTGTTTCTTTTTTGATAGATTTCGTGTTCCACTCCATGGGGGCCAGAAGCAAGCTTGCCAATGTTTTAGTTGGGGCCATTTGCTGAGGACGAACCAGTGCGCAAAAGGCCCTTGCATGTGTTTCCGAGTTGCTCCAAGCTGAAAGATCAACAAAGCTGGCTTTCCTTCATTTGGTTTAGCTGTCAGCTTCCTTTCCCGAAGTTGATTCAGTCCTTGGGTTGAACAAGAATCGATTTAGTTCCCTGTAGTTTCCCTTATAGCATGGGCAACGATCAATATGTGCTATCATTTTATGGAACGGGGATGCAAAATGCAAGGAGGAAATGGGTGCTACTCACCAAAAACCAACCATTGGGACAACAAACAGGTGCGTTAAAAGACGGCCCCCCCCAGAATAAATGGTTTCCCTTTGGTTTCCCTGTAAGCCAACCCCAACATCGGAGGCAGACCCAAATTCTGACCATGGCTCACATCTCTACCACGCCGATCGGGCTCGCGACTCCGAGACGGTGCCATGGCTCCCCCATGTGCATCACATGACACCAGTTCCTTCGTTGGGATTGGGGTTCTGTCTTTTTGGCTCGAGTTTTGGGAATTCCCCTAGAGAAAACCATTTGAGAGGGCAACAAGATGAGCTTCCTGTGGGTGGGGAAACAAAAAGGTATCCGGAAGCACGGGGGTCCCTTTCCCTTTTACCTTTTGGAAGGATCTGGTTTCATAGCCAATTGGTATCAGTTGGTTCATCTTAGGGTGTCTTTCTTGGTTTCTTTCGGGGCGGACCACCCATGGTGATGGGTTTTGAGAAGGGAGCCCCAAAATCCTGAGATCCCTAAGGGTCAGGTACAAGGTCGGTAGCTGCGAGCCACCGGGTTCCGCTGACTGTCCTTCGGGTTCCTGAAGGGTTTTTTTGGAGAACAACTCTACTGCTGTTGGGTTGGATCTTGAGACTTTAACTTTTAGGAGTCCCCTCATATTTCCTTTTTTCACCGGCAAGAGTCGAGCTTTTGGCCGGGGGATCTACCGCACCCAAGACCAAAGGGGGCTTCATTTTGGGTTTCGTGAGACAGCTGGCGCCTCGAAGTCTCAGGCCTCCCGAAAGCTCTTGGCGGCCCTGCGCGACATCGTGGCAGAAGCCTCAAAGCCTCAGCGAGGGAAAGATTTGGGGGTCTCCAAGCCGGTTTTGCTTTAACCCTCCCGACTAGGTCCCCCAGGATCGTTCCCTTCTCTCCCGTTTCTTTTTTGAAGGAGGGTTCCCCTAAAATAGACGACAGCCAAAAGGGTCTCGCATTGAGCTCGGTCAGATTTTCCAGGGGAGACGGGCAACCCTTCGCCTGCGAAAGGCTTTGAAAGCTGATAAGCACTTCATTTCAGGAAGTGCCATCAAGTAAAAGCAACTCTCCAACATTTCTGGGGTCTCCTCCAAACCTATTAATTTTATGTTTCAGGGTAGACTGAATATGAAGCAGAGTCAGCAAAAATGGTGTTTTTTTGATGTACCCCAGATGTGGGCCTCCGGAGTGGGTGGTTTGCCATTGTTTTCGCGTTACATCAGCGCAGCCCCACGAAGCCTGCATAGTGCCGTATAGTGCCATGGCATGTGTCTGCTTGTCCAGTGGCCGGGAGGTGATGACAGAGTTGGAGTTTGACAGTTGGTGGTGTGCAACGCAAGAACTTCGAGACAGCGGTGCATGTTTTGTTGATGCCTTGAGGCAGGATGTGGCAAAGCGGATGCAGCTTGCGCACTTTAGGCAGTTGCGCTTGGTGTGCGGAGACCATGTACTCGGGCAAGATGCCCCATGGAACAACACAGAGTCTGTGGTGGCAGTGGTGCGGCCATTTGTGTCGACGGCACACACAAGAGCAGAGCTGTTCGCGGTAGTCCGACGCGGCAACTATGAAGGACTCGTAAACTTGTTGGACCAGCCTTGTAACCCGGACACTGTTGTTAAGACATGTGCGGGAGACACAGCGCTCCATGCTGCCACCCGGCTTGGCCACACGAGGCTTGCGACTTGCTTGCTGGAAGCTGGTGCTGACCAGGACACGTGCAACAGCGACGGGCTTCTGCCCATTCAACTTGCCGCTTGGAGAGGCCACGTGGAGATTGCACGCTGCTTGCTGGCAGCTGGCGCCGACAAGGACAAGAGCAACAGCGCAGGATATTCTCCCATGCACATGGCTGCTGTGCGTGGTCATGTGGACTTTGTATCTTTCTTGCTGCAAGCTGGCGCCGACAAGGACCAGAGCAGCAAAAGAGGATATACCCCTTTGCACAGTGCTGCTTGGAATGGCCATGTGGACATTGTGCATTGCTTGCTGGAAGCTGGTGTCGACAAGGACAGGAGCAGCGACGGTGGGGATACGCCCATGCACCATGCTGCTCAGAATGGCCATGTTGACATTGTGCGTTGCTTGCTGGCGGCTGGCGCCGTCGCGAATAAGAGCAGCAACGGTGGGGATACGCCCATGCACCTTGCTTCCGGGGCAGGCCGTGCTGATATTGCGCGTTGCTTGCTGGAAGCCAGTGCTGACAAGGACAAGCCTAACAACGACGGATGTGCGCCCCTACACTGTGCTGCTGCGCTTGGCCACGCTGATGTTGCCCGTTGTTTGCTGGTTGCTGGCGCAGACAAGGACAAGAGCAACAGCGCAGGATTTACACCCATGCACCTGGCTGCTGGGCACGGCCACGTAGACATTGTGCTTTGCTTGCTGGAAGCTGGTGCCGACAGAGACAAAGCCAGCAACGCAGGCTATACGCCCGCGCAGTTTGCTTCTCAGCGAGGTCATGCCGATATTGCGTGCGCTTTGCAGGAAGCGGAGCTCTGCAATGACCAGCATGATGGTGTCACACCTGAAAAAGATTCCGCGTACAAACGGAGGAGGACTTGAAAAGGCCGTTGTGGGTCCTGTTATGACAGCAAGAACTTGAAGTTCGGAACGAATCCCCTCTTTAAGGCCTCAGTGGTGGCGGCCCCCCCCCGCCCCCACACACGCACACACACACCTTCCCAGCCCTGTTATTTTCAGGACTTTCTCTTTTGACCTTTGGCTCTTCCCTTGCCTTGTTTGGCTTTTGCGGTTGGTCGAATGGCAAATTGGGAAACCCAGTTAGGACGTGCCCCCCTATTTTCACACACTCATGGGTTCCATGTTGAGAGAGGCCCCCTCACCTGTGAGAGCCCGCTTTGGGTCGCTGGCAGAAATTCATCGCTTGCCGAAATAGAAACGGCCATGTTGAAGCAACATGGGGTGATGGTTGGAGCAAAATTGTCCCTTGGCTTCCAAGCTTGGTCTCAACTTTGGTTGTCTGATTCTCGGTCGCCTTGTGTTGTGATTGATGATGTTTTGAGGCTACTCCTTTTTTTGTTTTCGAAAGAGTGACTTTTGCTGCCTTTCCTGCGTTTGCAGGTTCTCAGTAGGGAATTTCAATGGTTTGGGAACCCGAAAAGTGGCTTCCGCCACGCGGGATGGTTCAAAGGCGTCATTCCCTCTGAGAAGCAGCAAGGGGTTGGCTGTCTCATCAGCACGTGCTGTTTGTCAAGGTGGAGTACCTCGTCGGCCAGTTCGACTCGGGAGCCCCGCTCCTGACGGTGCGCTTTGGGCGGCGGTAGGCAACACCCATGTCATGCGAACCTTGTGGTTTTCTTCATGGGGGGGGGGTAGTAAAAATTGTTTTTTGTTTGTTTTTTTGTGGCCATTGTACGACGGGTACGCAACTACCCCCAGGTGTCCAGATTCCAAAAGCTCCATTCCCAGAACTGCAGATTTCCTGCAACCCAAACGGAGATTGCCGTGATAGGTTTTGCGGTGGGGGTCGGGTGGGGAGAGAGGGGTCTGGAAGACCATACGGCACCACACGCCGACTTCCATGATTGGAAAACGGCCATGGAACCCCCGTCAAAAGTGGTAGGTGATTGCATAAATCCCCACCAATATGGTGTCCGCCAAAGGGTCCGCACTGAACATTTATACCTAAATGGGTGTGGCTCAAAATTAACCAGGAGGGGCAAACCGCAGGTTTTGGTCCATGTTTCCACTCACCAGGGCACCCCATTGTGGAGCCACAGCCAAATGGGTGAGTTTTCAGAGTCCCAGTTTCCTTCATACCAAACCAATCCCTTGAAAGCGAGAAACGGTATACATCTACAGCGGTTTTGCTTCGCCGGCCTGCCTGGGCACTCTGCCGCCGGAATTGTTTTGGGTTTTGGATGGCCGATTTGTCTGAAACAACGGGACCCTGTGCTGGGTTCCATCGTAAACGTGGGGTCTTGGAGGGTCCACTTCTTGCGGGGGGGCAATAGCAACTCAGAGCTTTTTTTCGCACGCAAACGTGGCAGCCCATTCCGTTGAAATGCGGCGTTGGATCCCCAAGTCTTGCTGGTTCTGGGAATCAATTTCATGGTTTTGGGATCGAACCGTTGATCCCCCGAAGGGAAACAGCTAACAAGGGTTGGTCCTTTTCAGGCTACCCTATTCGAAGAATATGGAAAGAGGGTTTCTTCCCCCCAATCAAAGGTATGCATTCCCTGCCGATCGCACCAGCCACCAAAAGTCGCCCCATCGCTCGAATCGCAGGTTTTCGACACCAACTGCGGGGAGATCCCGCCCAGGAGCGAAACGGGAGAAGGGCAGGGCTCCCTCCCTGGCTTTAATCACCTGTTGGTAGGGATGATGAAGGGAACCTCCTTTTCAGACTGAACAAGCCTGAAGCCGCTGTTCAAAAGAAGCTCCTCTTTGTTTCCCTTTAAGTGGCATCCACATGTCACAAATTGTGTAAGCGACAGTTTCTGGTCGCGCGCCTGGTCTCTATGAGTTGGCTCCGATTTTGTTCTGGCTGGCTCTCCGGGGACTTGTCTAAGCCAAGTAGAACTAAACATGAGTTGACTATGGTCGGCTACAGGGGTGGGGGGGTTCAACCCAACTGAGCAGAAGGCACAGAAATGCCCTCCCAACAATGGAAGCTGTTCACCAGGCCAGCTAAGTCTTCCATAAGGGTCCTGGGAGCTTCATGTTGGACTCGAGGATGCCCAAAAAGCACACGGTTGACAAGCAGGAAGGACGGTTGTGTCTTTGGCAATGGGTTTCGAAATGTCTCCAGCGTTCTCTTTTGGAAGGGCGATTTTTTTCTCCCCGTCACCCTGAACAAATAGGACACGCCCAAATTGACGCTCGCTGAATCTGCCAAATATGTCCAATGCAAAAGTTTGGTTGCAGGATATGGTCAATTGTTGCAGTGCACTGCCAGAGTGCAACGTCTCTGAGCCAACCTTTTTGATCTTTGGACTTTTAACTCTTCGGGTTTGTTTGGTTCGCCCTTTGGGGGTTGGCCTTGTACTTTCCAGGGGCTCCATAGCTTGGGGCCAAGGCCGGTTCGGCTTGAAGCGCGAGGCTCTACGAGGAGTTTTGCGTGCCCGACTTGAAGTACATCGCCACGGAGGTGGGTTGGGCGTCCGGGCGAAGCAGGGTCCATTTGGTCTACGGAGACTTCAGAGCGGAGAATCCTTGGACTTCATGAAACCACAGGCCTAATGTGCTTGGCGTGGAGGGCGGCTAGGACTTCTCTTCCAAAAAAAGCAAGTGTATGCCAACTAATCAGAGGGAACCCCCTTTTCACGTCCCTTTTGAAGGGTTTGAAGTGCTGTGGGGGCTGCAGAAAGTCAACATCTCAGACGTGGAAGCCTAGGCCCAGAAGGGATGTGCCACGTGGACAGCCAGCATCCCAACCCCTGATTGTTTCCCATGTCCAGTGCAGGAGGGAATGCTATTTTTTCCTTTCCAGACCCCCCACTTTACACCCAGGTTTCTCGCAAAACCATAGCAGGGCCATGGGCGATGTGTTTAGGGATTCCACTTTCTGTGAGCCCATGGGATGGGAAACAAAGGGTTACTTCTCACAGGTATGAGGGGTCTAGTGGCTTCAACCGCCATAAATTCTATTTAAAAAACAACAACACAGTTTTTGCTCCGCCATATCTACCGTTGCTTGAAAGTAGATGGTACCAATTCCCGATTTCGGTTTAGACCTCCCCTCTACCCATTTCTAGCGGGTTTTTCCTTCGGATCCGGGACTTGGATCCGCAGGTGAAGAAGCGAAGACCGGGTGCTCTGGTGTCCGTCTTCCCGAAGGATGGTGAGCCGGGCGCCCAGAGGACGACCTGCTTGGCGTCTCACATGTGTGCCATGGTCAAAAGATCCTGGGGTTAACAGGGACGGTCATCCACCAGTAAGGATCCTTAATTTGTTAATGTTGAAACGCATGTGGAAACATGAACTGTGTTGGCAATGCTTGACCATAATGGCGCATGCCATTTTGGCTCAAGCTTTGCCCTGGGTTCTTTGAACCCAACTTGTGTGAAAAACAACCCCGAACTAACTCCGATCTAGCAATGGCTTCCTCGGCAACCTCGGCAACCTCCTTCGAGCTGATTGAGGACCAGAAGCTCACCGCGGAGGAGGTGGAAATGGCCAGCCAGGAGGCCCAGGAAATTCGCACACGCGAGGCGGCAGTGGCGGCCGGCCTGGTGTTGGACGAGCCCGAGGCCCCCCCGTCGGCTTCGGCTACCGACGTGATGAACGACCTCTCCAGTGCACTGGAGCGTCTCCGTGTGGCCTTCTCCACACCGACTTCCGGCCTGGGTGCCCCTGGCCCCGCCGAGGAGGAGGACAAGGACATGGAAGATGCGGACGCCACGGAGCGGGCTACTCCACCAACGAAGAGGCTGAAGGGTTTCGTGGCGGCTTCCCAGAAGACCACGGCTCAGGTGAACAAGCCGGTCTCCCTTGTGCCGGTGGAGGGCCGTCCCGGCTACTTCAAGTTGGTGGACCTCCCAGACCTCTTCCCGGTCCTTCCGGCATCGGCGGCCACGTTGCTGCGGGACGTCACGGTGGAGGAGGCGGTCTCCCTGTTCCACAAGTTTGTCGGGAAGAATCTCACGGAGGACTTGGTGATTCGCATCCTGGAGGCCTATGTTCCGATGAAGATCCAGATCCGGCAGGAGGAGGTCTGGGCCTCACAGTTCCAGAGGAACAAGGCGTGCATTGGCACCCAGCGGATGCACAGACTCGATGCAGGCCACTCAGACTACAAATTCATGTGCAAGGCATGCGGCACGGGGTGGCCGGAGGCAGCCAAGCAATGCTGGGTCTGCCCGGGCAAGGAGTTCGTCCCCTTCCAGGCACCCTCGGCTACCTACGAGGCGGACGGCGTCAAGTACAACCTGCTCATTGTGGAGAGCCGACCTGGATCCAGCAGCGGGAAGGGGGAAGCCTGGGTGCCGCTGGCCCCGGTGGTACCCGGGCACAGGCAGACCGCAACCTGGTGGACGGCACGGTCCTGGGGAGAGCTCCTCCGAAAACGGACACGGCAGAGGAGATTACCATGGCAGACGTGGTCCCGCTCAACAGGCGGGTGGACATCCGGCAGGAGATCCTGTCCACGGAGGCGGACGATGAGGCGTTGAAGGTCCGGGAGCACCAGGAGGTCAAGGTCAAAGTGCAGCGGTCCCTGAAGGAGGCGGAGGCTCAGAGCTTCCAGCTCTACCACCCCCAGGTGGACCAGGCGATCCGGAAGAAGGAGGAGCTGCATAAGGCCTTGAAAGAGCACCGGGAACCGACCCCGGAGGAGTCCTCGGCCAGGCGGCAGCACAAGGAGTTGGTCACGGACGAGATGCTGGACAATGAGATGGCTATCCTGGCGCCTCTCCAGGAGGGCATGCAGGCCCTGCCGTCAGAGGAGGTGGCCAATGAGGGAGCCCGGGCCCTCAGGAAGGTCAACCTGGAGCGATTCAAGGCCAAGCTGCGAGATCAGTACCTGACGGAAAGGGCGTTGACGCCAGCCAGGCACTGGCTGAGGCGATGGGCTCCATCCAGGAGGCTCAGGAGGCGAACAAGCGCACCCAGGACACCAACCAGGCATGGATGCTTAACCACACCCTCAAGCCCTTGGAAGTGTCGGCGTGGCCAGATGATCTCAGGCAGGCACTGGAGAGGGGGCTGTTCTGCCCCCTGGAGCTGGATGACCCCGAGGACATCCCCAACGTGGGTGACATCAAGGAGAAGTATGTCCCCTACATCAGGAGGCTCAGAGAGGCGCAGAACCCATGGAACCAGGAGGCGCTGCTGGAGGAGATGCCCGATCTGGCGACTGAACTCGGAGGAGGGCAAGCTGTCCCTGCTCCTCTGGGCGATGAAGAGGCACCAAGGCGAGCTACGGATGTTTGGGGGGATCTGGAAGAAGCACTCAAGCGGTGAGATCCCCAAGGGCGCGGACCAGCAATTCAAGCTCACTCCGGAGGAGCTTCTGGCCCTGGAACGCAGGACCCACCCACTCACGTGCGAGCAGGACCACATCGACCCTGTCATCTACACGGCCTTGGAGATCCGAGCGCAGGTGAACCGGGGCGAGCGCCCGGCGCCGGAGCAGGTGGTGGGGATCTTCTGGGCGAAGGGCGATGGAGTGTTTTGGACAAGGCAGACGAGAACGTGGGACCTGCCGAGCCTGACGGGGGTGTACGCCCACAGGTTCACCTTCAAGTACATCTACTCGGCCTGGACCACCTTCCCGCTGATCGTGAAGACGCAGCGCCGGGGCCGCAATGCGGAGGGCTCGGCCTCGGACAAGTGGATGAGCAACATCCTCCAGATGAGGAAGGAGGCGGTCCCCTTCCTGGAGAGCCTGGGAATCCCCAAGCCGCGCAGCAAGGCGGAATGGAGCTACATCTTCAAGGAGATGGGGACGTTTCTGGCGGCCAAGAATTTCATCGTTAACTGCCCGTTGCCGGTGATGGAGATCCCAGTGGCCCCCGTCCACGACAGCAAGGAGGCGCTGCGTTTCAGGGCGGTCTGCGACGAGCGAATCACCCTTCCGCTGTCATCGTTGAGGGCTTTCGACTCGGTGTACACCAAGCTGGTGTCGGGCCTGAGTAAGTCCTCCATGGTGGAGGTCAAGGTCAACTGGCGTTGCAACGTGGTCCATGACTGGGTGGAGCAGGTCCCGCAGGAGGCGGCGGGGGCCCTGTACGACCGGTTGGGCTACTCCCAGGACCTTATCAGGCAGCTGGGTTGCTCCCCCCCCTTGGGTGCCTCTGGCCCGGGGGAGGAGCGGCCAAGGAATCGGACCCCAAGGCCAAGATTCTGGGGGGGCGGACACCACGCTCCGCACGCCGGACCAGGGCACCAGGCGGTACCCTCCTATCACCACGTCCACGGTCACGGCGGTCGCGGGCCGGAAGTACATCAACAAGCACTTCCCGAGACGAAGCACGTGTTTTGGGCCTCCGTGGAGTGCGGCCTGGTCCTGCCCAGCATCAGCGCCTGGGAAGTGGTGGGCAAGGAGAAGTTCAAGACCACCGGGGGTTACATGTGCAGGTTCTGCAAGGGCTTCTGGAGGGCGAGCCGCGGGGGGACCAGGCTGCTCCAGATCACGGGGTGGCACAAGGACAAGGCCACATGCCTGCAGCTGGTGATGGACGAGCCCCCGGAGCAGCTATATAATCAGTGGATCCGGGACAGGATGGAGTTCTACAAGCGGGTGGAGCCGACAGAGCCTCCCAGGGACGAGCGGTAGTCCTTGGCGATGCGAGCACCCCGCGCATGCGCTTCAGCTCCTCGAATGGCCTGGGGGATGTCTCCACTGCCTTGTGGTCGGTCATCTTGAGCAACCCGGAGAAGTCAGGGCTGGCGGCCATCCACTCGGTGGCTAAGGAGGCGATCTTGAAGGGTGAGAGCCGCTAGGTCGTGTCTCACAGCCTTTTTGGATGGGGAGTCGTGAGATCTCTTCCCACCGGGACTTGGGTGCCTCTGGCCCCGTCTCGGGTGGGGGGAGGAGTAAGGGTGCCCCCCTGTTGGGTTCTTCTTTCACATGGGTTTCCCCCCCTGTTCAACGCGTCACGACTGCCGGTTTGCCTCGATCTGGAGGCTGCACGCTTTGGCTGCCCCAAGGACGGGCCATATCGGCCACAGTGTGGAGAAAGTGGCTGCGGCTGACTCTGGGTTCCCTGAGGTCCCCTTGGGGGTTTTGGGGAATCCCCCGCCGGGTTGGTCTTCGGTCCTTTTTTTTGGGGATTTCCGGGGGTTGACTTTTGGGTCCTGTTGGGCTGCATGTGGCCTGCCTGCCCCATTTGCACTCGGCATCCTGTGGGGTTGGAACATGCGTGCAGTGTGTCGCGGTTGGGTCCCGGCCGTTCAATAGGAGGCTCGAACCCCCCCCATTTTCATCATGGCTAGGGTCTCTACAAAGTTTCTTTTGCGCCCGCCTTACACTCGTCTTTGGGACCGCATTCCAAGGGTCCTGTGGGACACGTTGGCGGATGAGTCCTTCTCCCCGAGACAGACGGACGGGGAGCTGCTGGTTCTGATGTGCCTGCGCCATGGCACGGCAGAGGAAGGGAGGCAGCTGGGCGGGGAGCGGCCATCCGCTTCGCTCAGATCCTGGAACTCTCGGGCATTCCGGTGGGCCAAGATGACCAAGTGGTACCAACGGACTACTTCAACGGCCTGGTGGCGTCGGCGGCGGGCAGGCTTCCCCAGCCTTTGTCCGCGGCGGACCTGGCCGACCTTTGGGATAGCCTATGGTTCCTCCTCATGGCGGCTACGGATGGCAAGCCGAGCGAGAATTTTTCCCCGCTGGAGAATGAATGGGACCGCCAGGACCAACTGAGGTGGTTCTCGCGAGATGACCCGCCCCCACTCCAACAGCCGGAGCTTCTGAAGTGGAGGCACTGGCGGCCCGGGAAGATCAGGGAAATGGAGCCCACGACCCAGAGAGCGCTGGAACTCCATATGCGCGGGAAATGGGCGGAACGACTCCTTGCCCACTTCGCCCCCTTTGCGGAGCACATTGCATACATGCAGGACATCCTGGGGGAGGACTTCCGCAAGGAGGCATTGGACCTCTTGGGGGACAGCAGGTTCCGGACGCTCAGGCAACATTGCCTGGTCTACGAGAGTCTCCGCAAGAGAGGCTTCACCGTCATTCCTTGGCAGGAACGACATGTCCGCTCTCTCCTCAACCAGCTCGCCGATGAGGAGGTCACCCCGTGTAAGTTGCGGCAGGTGTGGAACACCCTCAAGTGGTTCTCAAAGACCTTCGGATTGCTGAAGGTAGATGAGCTCCATCGCCTCAGCTCACGGACAC